TCTATTAGACTTAATGAATTTGGCAAAGTAGCAGGATACAAAATTAACATCAAGAAATCGATGGCATTCTTGTACACCAATGATGAACTCACAGAAAGAGAAACTGAAAAAACAATCCCATTTACCATCGCGCCAAAAAAATTACGATACCTAGGAATAAACTTAATCAAAGAAGTAAAGGACCTATTTGCAGAAAACTACAGGTCATTGAAAAAAGAAATAGAGGAAGATATAAAAAAGTGGAAGCACATACCCTGTTCATGGATTGGAAGAATTAACATAATTAAAATGTCCATACTACCCAAAGCAATCTATAGATTCAATGCAATCCCCATCAAAATACCAATGACATATTTCATAGAACTAGAACAAATACTTCAAAAGTTCATATGGAACCAAAAACGACCCCGAATAGCCACAGCAATCTTGAAAAAGAAGAACAAAGTAGGTGGGATCACAATACCAGATATCAGGTTATACTACAAAGCGACTGTAACCAAAACAGCCTGGTACTGGCACGAGAACAGGCATATAGACCAGTGGAACAGAACTGAAAACCCAGAAATGGACCCAAGGCAATACGCTCAATTAATATTTGACAAAGGTGGCAAGAGCATACAGTAACAGTAGAGTAAAGACAGCCTCTTTAATAAATGGTGTTGGGAAAATTGGACAGCTACATGCAAAAAAATGAAACTAGACCATCAACTTACACCATACACAAAAATAAACTCGAAATGGATAAAAGACTTAAATGTGACCCGTGAATCCATAAAAATTCTAGAAGAAAATGTAGGCAACAAAATTTCAGACATCATATGGAGCAGAATTTTCACTGATACATCACCTAAGGCAACAGAAATAAAGGAGAAAATGAACACATGGGACTACATCAAACTAAAAAGCTTCTGCACAGCAAAAGACACAATCATCAAAATGGAAAGGCAACCCACTGTATGGGAGACCATCATTGCCAATGATGTATCAGATAAGGGGTTAATCTCCAATATATATAGAGTGCTCATACAACTCCACAAAAGGAAGACAAAGAACCCAATTAAAAAATGGGCAGAGGAGCTGAATAGACACCTCTCCAAACAGGACATACAAATGGCCAAAAGACATATGAAGAAATGCTCAACATCACTAATCATCAAAGAGATGCAAATTAAAACAACAATGAGGTATCACCTCACACCTGTCAGAATGGCCACCATCAAAAATCATCAAACAACAAGTGTTGGCGAGGGTGTGGAGAAAAGGGAACTCTAATACGCTGCTGGTGGGAATGCAGACTGGTGCAGCCGCTATGGAAAACACTATGGTGCTACCTCAAAAAATTAAAAATTGAACTTCCATTTGACCCAGTGATCCCACTGCTGGGAATATACCCTAAGAAGCCTGAAACACCAATCAGGAAGAATATATGTACCCCCATGTTCATAGCAGCACTATTTACAATAGCTAAGATCTGGAAACAGCCCAAGTGTCCACCAGTAGACGAATGGATAAAAAAGCTGTGGTACATATACACAATGGAGTACTATGCAGCGGTAAGAAAGAAAGATCTCTTATCCTTTGAGACGACATGGAGGGACCTGGAAAGTATTATCCTAAGTGAAAGAAGCCAAGCAGAAAAAGACAAATACCACATGATCTCACTTATATATGGAATATAATGAACGTAACAGTCTGAGGAATACAGTAGACCCAGACACATGGAAGTAGGGCACAGACTGACATCCCTCAGAAGAGGGGATGGGGGTGGGGGGTGGGAAGAGATAAACCACAGAACTTATATGCATGTATGCATGACCAATGGACATGGACAACTAAGCCGGGGACGGGGCGGAGGTGGGGTGGGGTGGGGGGTGCCAATGGGGTAAAAAGGTAAAATATCTGTAACAAAAAAATAAATAAAAATTCTTATTAAAAAATAAATAAAAATAAATAAATAAATAAAATGAGCAACTAGGTGAATGGTGCCAGTCACCAAAATGAACACTAAGAGTAAAGCAGGCTTGACTTATAGGGTAAAATAAAGAGTTGTTTTGGATGTGTTAGGATTATGATGCCAATTAAAACATTCAAAGGAAGATGTCAAATGCACTGTTAGAGTGTGAAGATCAAGGAAGAAATGTAAATCTGGTAATCAGCACATGTGTAGATGGCATTTACATTAAATCCAGGGGACTGAATGAGATCATTTAGGGAGTGCATAAATAAATAAGTCAAGCATGCCAAGGACTGAGCTCTGAGGCACTCCAGTGCTTATAGAACAGAGAAAGATGTAGCAGAGCCAACTGAAGGGGGGCAGGGGCAGGAAAGTATGATACCCTAAAGTGAAGAAAGTCATTGAGGAGTGAAGAAGTGGTCAACTCAGGTCAAGCTATCAAGATCAAGTTACTCTCCATAGAACATTATGAATACATAAAGGAGCCGAATTCTTAAAAAGTACACAATATGAACATAAAGTTCTAATTTAAAAAATAACAGTCCCCCCACCTCCATTTTAAGAGAAATGTGTGTTCAAAAAAGAAAATCTAGAAAAATACAAAAGAGTAAAAAGAAAAAATAATTACTCTAAGAAATTTGTCATTAAGATTTTGAATACTTTTCCTTGCAATCTCCATATATAGAGGTTTGAGTTTTGTTTTTTAAATAATCTAAACATATCTGACATGTCATTTTATACCGTGCTTCTTTCACTCTCGTGTTGTTATATATCATTCTTTAAAACATTTTAATGATAACATAATAGTTGCCATTTATTGATTGCTTATACTAAGCCAGGCACCGTATTAAGGGCTTTATAAATGTACTGCATTGACTCTTCACAACAACCCATTAGGCAATTACCATTATCCCAAATTTCTAGATTAAAAAAACAGGATAAGTAACTTGTACAGGTAAAGATTTTACTTTCTGTGCTCTTAATCATGTAGTGCCTAGATAACATAATTTGCTTCATTCCCTGTTATAAATTGGGTGGTCTAATTTTTTAGAATTATAACTACCACTTTGATGAACATCTTTGAACATAAAGCTTTTTATGAATTCAGAATTATTTTCTCAGAATAGATTTCTGGAAACAGAATTACTGAATCAAGGAAGTATTTTTAAGACTTCTGATACACATTGTCATTTTACTTTCCAAAATGTTTCCCCAACATATCTTATCACCAAAAAAGTTACTTTAAAAATCTACTTCAATCTAAAATACAAGATAATAGAGAAAGACTAGCCTGGGGAAAAATAAGGACTATGAAAATATCACAAGTGGCCACCAGAGGGCAACCGTATCACAGCACTCTTGGGGAAAAAATCGCATTTAAGACAGAAGACTGATTTTATATTAAGCTTACAGTTTTATTTTATTTATTTATTTTTTATCCTCACCCGAGAACATTTTTCGATATTTTGTTCAGATAGAGTGGGAGGAAGGGAGAGAGAGAGAAACATTGACGTGAAAGGGACACATCAAGTGGTTGCCACCCACACGGCCCGGGACAAACTGCAACTGAGGTACGTGCCCTTAGCGGGAACCAAACCCGGGTCTCTCCGGACCGCAGGCCGACACTCTAACCGCTGAGCCAAACTGGCCAGGGTTAAGCTTACAGTTTTAAATCAAGTATTGGCAATCCTTCACATTGGATTCCACTTTTATTATATTTCAAAACAGAGAAACCATATATTTCTCTTATTACTAGTTGTTTTTAGGAATCATAGCCATGAAAAGGATTCCTTTTGCCTTAAGTTATCTCCAGAGCAAGGAGAGGTTGAAATTTACTTAACATTAAAGAGGGCTAACTCATTGCTGCAAGGAAAATGAGAAGTGACAATCAGCAACGTAGACTGCTTCCTGGTACCGCAAAAGATCTAGGGAGCAATGTAAATCAACTCTTTTTTTTTTAATCGATTCCAATTCTCTTGAAATTTTGCCTCACTTCATCTATTTTGTCTAGTTTTTCCTCTATTTTCTTAAAATATTAATTTTAGTTATTTTAAAGTCATATGCTAATTCTAACATTCAGATCACCTATGGATCTGCTTCCATTGTTTTTTTTTTATTATTGGTCAAAATTTTCTGCCTCAGCATTGTCTAGTATTTTTTATTGTATGCCAAATACAGTTTACAAAAGAACCACAGATGACTCCCCTTTCCTGTGTTAGGCAAATACGATAAGAGGATCACCTCAATCCAATCAGAATTTGAGATGAGTTGAGGACGAGCTGCAATTTCAGTATGAGTCAGTTCACCACTGGTTCATGAGAATTCTTGGTCATGGCCTTCAAAGGCTTTTAACTGAAAACCTAACAGGCCTGAGTCTTCTCAGCTCTGAAAGACTGCAACAGATTCAGCACTTCCCTTTGGGGATTTGTGCCTAGGTCCTACTCCACACACCTTCAAAATCTGGCGTTGTCTTGAGAGAAAGATGGTTGTATGTTGCAGCAGGCCCTCTTTAAAGAGATTTTTGTCTCCTAACCACCACAAGACAGAGATTTCTTTCTACCAGCCTTCCATCTCCTACACAGTCAGCTAAGAGAAAACTGGCCTTGTATTTAGGGCTCCTCTAGTTTCCAATCCATCACACAAGCCCCAAATGACTGCTAAAAGCTCTTCTTGTATCTCTTTCCTAAATAATTCCTTTGCTTGGCTAACGTTGCTCCTTAGCCTGTACTCAGAATCAGCAAATGTCCCCTAGAAAGGAAATGGTTGTGATCACCAGCTCATGTAGGAAGAGTTCTGTCCTTTCTGGAATTTTAATTCATATCATCCTCCTTGCTTCCATAGCTCTCCAACCAATACAATTTTTGAAATTTATGTATTTTTTTTCAAGTTGTTGTTGCAGGAGTTTGGCTTGCTCTGACCTATTACATCCCACTTAGAGGAGAAAGACTCTTATAATCTATTTGGAAAGAATAAACCTATAGATGAAGGATCTCAAAATAAAAAGAACAATGAATGAATTACATAAAAAGGTAAGAAGAGTGTGTACCTGTGAGGGCATCACAACTGGCAGACCTGTTATTGCATTGGCAGGGCAAGCAGCCACTCATACTAAAGCCATAATATCCATCTTGGCATCGATCACATGCAGAGCCGGTGACACCCACTTTACACTGGCATTTCCCAGAACTGCAAATAAAAGCAAAGACAATAAACAAAAGTAAAAGTTTAAAAATTTTGTTGTCTAACATCCCATTATATGACAATCTTAATGTAGGAATTGTTTAAACTGAAGACTGAACAGCTTCATAACCATATAAATTCAATTAACATAGTACTAACACTAATAATTTGTGCCAATTTAATCCTCTGCACTCAGCTAGTTTAAAATAAATGATAAAGGAGCCATGGAGAATATGAGTTTCAATGTTTAGAAATCTTTATTAACCACTGGGGCATAGAACTGATAGTACTGCTACATCTCATTCCTGATTCATTCCACAGCCCCATCAGCATCCATACTGGAATCAGGAAATGAAAAGAAAAATCAGGAAATGAGAAGAAAAATCACCTAACTTCACCCAACCTAGCTTCTGGATGAAAAATATGAAGACCAGGATCTTAATAAATGTGACAATAAATATCCATTTAGATGCTAGAAACAATATAATTTTCTACTTTAGGTACAAATTATATTAAAATATATCTGGTAATTAAACTGGAGTTCACAATTATGTAAAATGACTATAATAGTGACATTTATCACTTTCTGGATTAATCCATATAAAAATTCTTGACTGTCAATCCAAAAGGACTAAAAATCTAAAGTAAGAAGAATAGTTTAAAATTTAGTCTCTTTCTATTAATCTATTTTCTTTTCTTAGATGTCCATTACATTAATATCACCTCTTTTCAATCAGTGAAACTTAAATCTCTTGTCATTTTCAAGTCCTCTCTACCCTATGCTCTTACAATCACTCACTCAAATCCAATATATCATCAATTTACATCAAATTTTCTTTCAAAATATCTCTTGGTATTGTTATTACCTCTACAAACATCTCTCTCAGAATGTCTTTCCTCCTCCACCTCTCAAAAAATGTCCTGCTATCAGGCTCATCTTTTTCTCTTTCTTTTAAATATTTTTTTCTTTATTGATCTTAGAGAGAGAGGAAGGGAGAAGGAGAGACAGAAACATCGATGACAGAGAACATGGATTGGCTGCCTCCTGCATGCCTCTCACTGGGGATTGGGTCCACAACCTGGGCATGTGTCCTGACCAGAAATCAAACCCGCGCGACCTCTTGGTGCATAGGTTTGACCCTCAACCAGTGAGCCGTACCGGCTCATCTTTTTCCATGAAACCTTTCTCTGCTTGATCTAAAGAGATCTTTTGGCTTCCTGACATCACATTCTCTACACCATAAATTTTAACCTTAATTCATTATGGTCTGGTCCTATATTCATTCATATATGTAACTCTTGTTTCTCTAGTTAAATTGTCAAAGACCTGAAGCAAAGACTGCATTATGCAGTTTTCCTTTTTTTTCTTTTTTAATTATCCTCAAGACATAGCACAAGCCTACTGATAGTGTACTATAACTATTTTCATTTCATACATCTTACTTGGCAAGTTTGCTGAGTTCAGGGACCATATCTTAGCCATCTTAATATCTTTACAGTCTAATATAGTGCCTGGTTCACTGTAGGCTCTTAATATATACACAAACTGAGTTTTAGAGTTAAGTACTGGAAGGGAAAAAGAAAGATGAAGGGCTACACTAGTTACCAGGATTCTGAGAACAGCTAAAGTTCTTCCTTTTTTCCCAATAGTGTAACCCTTCTTTACATGCTCATTCTGCACCTCAATTTGTTAGGCTTCATCTGAGTAGATTTTGGCATCAGTTGTATTGAATGGGAGACAATCCAAGGTAGAACTGCTTCTCAACATAATTTTTTTAGAGATTCAGCTCCTCATAATGAGTCCCTATGGTGTTGTTAATTTTAGTTCAGGAGTCCAAGCTCAAATTGTTAATATTTACATAGCCCTTACACATTTCATCAGTTAAAGAAATCTCCTACTACTTCCCATATTCCTATGTCTGTAGTAAAAATAAAAGTTTTAAATTTGAGAGTTACTGGAACTTAGCAGAATGGAAGTAAAGCAACTTTTAATTCTGTGTATTCTATTTGTGGAATATAAACATAAGGATTATTGCTTTGATTATGTGAGATATGCCTCTCTCTTCATCAGTATCCCTGGGTAAAATAATAAGTTTTGTTTTGTTTTGTTTTGTTTTTTGCCTTCTATCCCCATAAAAGCATTTTGAGCAGCTGGAGTTGAAGTTTATTCTCTCTCACACTTATCATGGTTCTCTGCAATATCTCAGAGTATGCCAAAAAGGAGTAGAAAAACAGTTCTTCATGGAATATTTTCTTAGGCTTTCCTCAAACAAAACCAGTCCAGAAGGGGAAAAGAAGCCAGGCTTATATAAATACTTAACATATCTTAAAGTCTTGTATCCTGAGAAATAACCTATCCAAATCTGTGTTTCCATCTTAAAGCTGCCTAGTGTATTGGGTTATTCAGTTTCTTGACTAACAAATAATTTTACAGAATATCTAAAATGAAAGCAGATGTGATGATGATTATGATGATGGTAAAAACAATTATCCATCAGTTATTGAGAGACTATGTAAATACATATATACTCCCTCTAATCCTTAAAATAATTCTACTAGGTGAAGGTCATAATCCTCATCATACTATTGAGGAAATTCAGAAAGGTTAAAGTTATTGTCCACACCTATTAATTATCTATACAAAGACAGACTTTCTCATTATACCATGCCACCTACCCTTCCCTAAGTTTGACTCTAAATTTGTTCAAGATATTTGCCTGCCAAACAACTTGACACCCACTTAGGTATCAAGCTTCACTTTCAATAATATAAATGCAGGAAAGGATTCCAAGCACCACCCTTCACCATTGATAGAGGTTCTAACCCCAGTGAGCTCTTTCTGCCTTGCTCAGACTAACCCCCATCTCTTTTCTTACGGCCATTAAATTTCAGGTCTTCCTTAACGAAATCTAAGAGATCTTACTGCTTTGAAGAGAAACTGCAGCCTAGCAAAGTCCAAGGTTCTCAGAAGACACAAGCCCAAATATTTTGATGGTTAGTTAAAGCTTAATTAAAATTTGTACTGATCATAGTATAGAAAATGAGCATTGTTTTTTAAAGTGCTACCGAAATTTACATTAGCAACCATGTCTCTTAAGTAACTATGCAAGAAATTTAAAAAGAAAAAAATCCACCCACATATAGGTACACAGTCTCACTCGAAAATATCCCAAGGTACTTAAAGATCTAGCAAAGTAAATGTGTATTTATCAAAATGAAATTCAGGAATATCTTACAATTCAACAAGAAGGAACTAATCAATTTAAGTATTGCTACACTTTCAGAAAATTATAAAGAATATAGTTTACCTTTCAGAGAATGTCTAACAACAGTTCATTAGCCAATTTCCAAAGCTTTAAAAATATTAACCAAAATATACTTGCTTCTCATTTCTCTACAGATTATTCAGTATACAGAAGAATAAAAAGTTATTATTAACGACAATGTTTGCCCATCCATCACCTATGAGAAAAATGTGTTATCTTGGAATACCTAATAATATAACAATAATTAATTAATGTTAATTGTTAATAATATATTACTAATATAAGATATAGCCAGTGTTTTCAAAGTAGATGCTATTCTTATAAGTGATCGTTCCCTTCATAATTCTGCTCTGGGCACTCAGAAGACTGATTTAAGCATGCATCTTTCTCCCTAGAGTATATGTTCCTTAGTTGATTTAAAAAAAAAATCCATGAATGGCTGGATGAATCTTGATAAAGCAGTTGACTAGTCTAGACACCATGCTTCGCTTGAAATGTGATACCTTTTTTCTTTCTTTCTAAAAAATATACAGAATAGAGTGGGGAAGTTTAACTGTGAGGCTACACTAGTAGGCTTTTCCACCATGTTACTCATGGCCATGGCCAATCTCTAGATGTATAAGAATTAAATCACTCAGTAAATATAAAGCTTTCCCTGTATGACTTCTTTTATAGAATAAAGCCTATACAACACCCCTTTTCATGGTCTCCCTCTGTTAAAGACTGCTGAATGTTCTTTGAAGCAAAGGTCAATAATATAAATGCAGGGAAGGAAAAAAAAATAGGCCTGTTAACAAATCACTTACACTTACCCATAGGTTTGAAATGAAAGAACCAAAGACACACATCTTCATATTTACAGAATAAGGGCAAAGAACTGAATTTTGAACTGAAGTCAGAAATCTATACTACTGAGATAAACTGACAAAGAATTTAAGGTAGAATTGCTCATCTGGTGTCAGTCCTTATAGATATGAGTTAGCTGTTAGTAAAGTACTAACGTAGTATGGAGGATTATATCAGAAAAAAAGAATATAGAATTAATTATAAAGGAAGCACAAGCATTGTGGAACTAAGCTGCACTAAGTGAAACTAAGCATATACTACACATATCTTATACTATCCAAATGGAATTCTCAGATTTTCTTACAGTGTAAGTGCTTACAGACTTGATTACACTCATAGGTGTGAGCAACTATGACAAGGTTTGAACATTAAAAATTATTTATTAAAATATAAACAAGTAATATATTTTCTGAAATGAAGCTATTAATATTTCAAAAGCAAATTTAATGGTGTATCATCTCAAGATAGAGTACATATTTATGTCACACAAGTACTAATCAAAATGTCCTTTTAAAGGTTCTGTTTTGTTTAAGATGAGTGGGTGGAGAATCTTCAGAATTTCCACTCTTTTATAATCACACTGACTAGGGTGAGAAGGGTGGGACACAGGAAGGGAGGTATCAGGGTCTATGGAAAATTCATAGCCTGAGGAGACAGAGAGAGCTTGGTTCAAATTCCAGCTCTGCTAGTAACTTGCTGGGACTAAGTACTTATTCTATCTTGGCCTCAGTATCCTGATTTGTAAAATGAAGGCAATTATACCAAACTCCGTAGGGTTATTGTGAGAATTAAAGATTGCATACGCAGAGTACTTAGCAGTGTCTGGCACATAATCAATACTCAAAAATGAAAGAAACATGAAGATAATGACAATTATCCTATAACTTGAATTTT